TTTTTATTATTTATTTCAACTCTTTGATACCTGTTTTTGAGGTATGATTTGATCCATTCATTAGCTTTGCCAGTTATTCCATAGAAATTTAATTTCGATAGTAAGATATCATGATTAACACAATCGAAAGCTTTTGCTAGATCACAGAAAATCCCTCCCACAATTAATCTGTCATTGAGAGCACTTAAAATATCGTTAGTTAGTTCATAGGTTGCTTTTTCTGTTGTTAGGTCTTTCCTAAATCCAAATTGCTCTTTGACTAATATGTTGTTAGAATGTAAGTGTTCAAGTAGTCTATTATACATAACTTTTTCAAAGACTTTTGAGAATGAAGTCAATATGGATATTGGTCTGTAATTAGAGATGCATTTTCTCTCTCCTTTTTTAAAAGGAGAGTATCTAAGGATAAATGTTAGAGGCAATGAGAGATTTGCCTGTCTGACAACTTCAAGAACTGATCTAAATGTGGGAAAAATGATTGAGATGGTGGAAGATGGTATGCATGTGTTCATGTGTGTTCTGTTGGTGTTTGTATGTGTGTGTGTGCTGTGCGTGCATGCATAACATACAGACATGTTGCTCTTGATTAATTTGAACCCTTAAAAGAAGTTATTTTAAAATTCTGACCATGCATCCCAGGCATGGAATAGTTGTGTGACTACTACTTGTTGATGAGCACCGTGTCATCATAGTGCATTGTGATTGATGGTACCTGAAAATATATGGCCACACAGGTGGGGTAGAGAACCTCAGGCTGTGTGGATCCAGCCTGGTAGTGGACTTAACAAACCAAGAACATAAACAGATTACAATTCCTCTCCAGTATCTCCCCAATAAATCATTTAACAACTGTTGTGAGCTGCTATGAAGCAAGCTTATGCATTATGTGCCAGTCAACTTCTGTACCATTGTGTGGTTTCCATTTCAGATGTTTTGTTTCAATTCATTTTGGCATTTTTTTAAACCACTTTGCATGTAAAAGGTATCTGAGAGATTCTCAGGAAAAATATTCAAGGCTGGCACTAATTCCATCCTAATTCTCTTCCATTAGCACTCAGTGTGTGGATTAGGAGTTTTTTCCTCCAAGTCCATTAACTCCATATACTTAATTTATCATTATGTGAATAATTTTTCTCTTTGGAGCTGTAACTCCCTGAAGTTTACAGTGGAATTTTTTTTCCCTTGCTTCTCTTACAAAACCACTTTTCACATACATATCATACATGAACACCCTTTGTTGGTTGGTTGATTGGTTTCCAATGGCTGCATTTGGGATCACATAACACATTTTGCTTCTTGCTTCCCAATAGAGAGCACTCAAGTTCTTGCTTTGTTGCATCTTGAAGAAGTTGGCACTTTTCTTTTGGGAAGCTTTGCCAGATTTGTTGCTCATTTTGCACTACCCAGGGGACACCTATGACTTAAAGAATGTCACTGATGCGAGCAACTTTGTCCCCCTGAACACCCTTTGTTTCAGTGTATTTCACATATGGCATTTTGATAAAATATTGTGACTGATCAAATGTTCACTACAGTGGCACAGGCTCAGAGTAATGATTGGCCAGCATATAACCCATAAGCTCACATCATGATAGCTGTTCAATTTACTGGGCTGATGTTAAAGAGGAAGTGAGATATGTACAGGATCTTGGTTTGTCAAGACTCTTACTAGTCCCAATCTGTGCATCCTGAGCTGACATGAGAATTGTCTCTTGCCTGAGCACTTGAACAGTTGAACAGTTTTTGAATAGCTCTCAGTCATTATACTATTTATATCAGTAACAGAAATAGAGTTTACCAGGTGGTATCGGGAAGTTCCCTGACTAGGTCAAAAAAGAAATGCTGGCTTAACTTGCTCAGTTTTGGCTGCCATATCCTTCAAAGTAGTCTCCTTGGGAACAGCAATCCCACTCTTTTTTTCCCATGCTTCAAAAGTACTCTGGAAGCCATTTTCCTCAATACTGTCAAGTACCACTTGCTATTCCCTTTGGATGTCAAACACTGTTTCAAAATGTCATCCCTTCCATTACATTTTCAATTTGGGAAACAAAACAAAATCACAAGAGGCTAAGTCTAGTGAGTAGAGAGGATGGGGAACAGTAACCATGTTGATAGACACAGAATCTGTGGTTTTCAGGGAGGTGTGGGTGGGCGCATTGTCATGATGAAGCTTTGGGTTTTAACTTTCTGTTAAGATGTCCTGGAAAACTCCATAACTGATCCCATTGGTGTCTGCGAGCTCATGGATTGTTCAGTGATGGTCTTCATTGATGAGTTCTCCAATTTTTTCAACATTTTCTGCCCTTTGCCAGTGCTTGGTCTCCCAGAACATTTGTCATCTTCAGCTGACACTCTACTGCCTTGAAATTGAATGCCATTCAAAAACCACTGTCCAACTTAAAGAATGTTCTCCAAAAGCCTCACAAAGCATTTCAAGGTTTTCCATAGCAGATTTACCAAGCTTCATGTAAAATTTGATGCAGATACCTTGCTTAATTTTGCCATCCATTCCAGACAAAATGAAACACAAAATCAAAAAAGCATTCATGAAAAAACAGTGTGTATTCACAGCGCAGTGTCACATGGCAGACTAATGCAATAGGTTTGCGGAAATATGTAAACCTTGGCCTCCTCTCTCACCTACTTTCACTGAGGCAGTTACAAGAATAACAGTCTGGGATCTTTCCAGTACCACCTCATATAAGGTTTATCTTAGACAAAAATGGTAAGTCAAATGGACTGTAGGAAGTTAGAATTGAATTCAGGTGACTCATTATGATTAGGTTTTATTGGCATATTTAAAATTTTGTAATATCAAGGAATGATATTGAATTAGTTGTTGTAGGCCATCTTGAAGTTCATTCCGTTTTCTTTTGTCAGGTGAAGTCATTAAGTACTCTGGGGACCCTCTCCAAGATTTCACTCTACCTAAGTTCCTTGATCGATTTGTTTTCAAAAATCCAAAAAAGAATATCAAAGAAGAAGTTGTCAGAAACTCCAAGTTTTCACGTAAAAGAGCATACATACCTTCAGGCATCAGGTCTTTGCGTGTTGACAGTGCCAGCTACCTTAATGAAGATGAATCTAAAATCCCAGTTGATGAGCTCTTCATGTACAGGTTAGTGTTGAGTTGTTGGTCAGTTTCTTTTGTTTTGGTACTCCTTGTACATTTCAAGTCGTAAGGTAGGTCTGAACAACACTGTTTTATATGAAAATCAATTCATTGAGCCCAGTATCTTGTCTGGGATGCAGATCAAGTGCTAGCAGTAATAATTATGTTTACCTGAAGAAACTGTTATTTACGAGTAATATTTGCAGTTAACGGAAGGTGTTAATCTTAATTAAAGGAAAATAATTTGATAATATTTGTAAGGCCTACGTTTATATGGATGGAAGATGCCAATGAGATGCTGGGCACAACTTCTTTATAATCAGCATCTCAATATTTAGTTAACTGATGGATTCTTGGTTTATTTTATGACACTTTTCAGTTGCATGGCTTATAGAATATTGCGTGGTGAGAAAATTGTGAATGTTGCATTGAGGAGCATGTGGAAAGTAGCCCCATTGTCCCTTAACTGCTGGGTAATTAATGTACTTTTCTGAATATGAGACAGACCATCTCAAAATGTTATAATTTTTTGGAAAAACCTATTTATATCAGTATTAGAACTGGCCAAGCCTGTGTTTCATTATGATATTCAGATATTTATGTGAATACAATTCTAAGGTTACAGAGTATCATGCTGTCTTATCATTAGTGTGATATGGGTGAGTCTGATAATCATGTTCTCTTTCCAGAGTCCCCTCAATGATACTGTATCCATCTGTTGTAGCATACTGCAAAAATGCTAGCTGGACCTAGCCCATGGTAGCCCCTGTTTATGCAAATCCTTCCATGGAAATTATGGATAACAAATTTTGTGTAACATGTTTTGGAACAGCTACTGCTTCACTGTTAGCCTCTTCAGAAGTCGATGTCACCTTGTTTTCTTGGCCACTAGTATTTCATTGTACTGTCACTGCTCTGCCTCTTTGTGCATCTTGCACTGACCTGACTTTCAATTCTTAGCATACTATGCTCATGTCTGGTTTTTCACATATGACTGCTCCACACCGCTTGTCCTGGATCCATGGTCATGGTGGCATTGCTGGGAATGAGGCAGTTGGTACCGCTGTCCGAGATGCTGTAGACATTAGAACTTGGATGTTTGAAGGCATCGTCCCTAGTGACATTGCAACCCATCTGCACTGACCAGTCGTAGCCAACCTAGCTGACAGTCAGACTGAAATGCAGTACAAAATATTGAATTTTGTGAAATAAAGACTGCTACAGCTAAATGGCAGTTTTGTGCTTGATCACCCATAAGGGACGATGTTCCTAACACACATCTCTGTATATGGCATACACACCGGATGCATGGATATTTACTGATAGCTTCTCTGCTACTATTGTCAGCCTTGCAGCTCCCATTTGACAGTCTGACACATCTTGGTCTACTGTCATGCATATACACCCCAGTGACAACACTTTAACCTACCTCATGGCATTGCTGTCATTTTAGGCAACAATAGTAATGTTTAATCAAGGTCTTGAAGTTGCCACATGCCATAAGAATATCAGATTCCCTGCAGGAAGATATTACATACCATACCAGGATGGACTAGATCCCCACTCTTGTCAGAAATAAAAATTGCCCTGAAACATAATAATCCATGGTGTAGACAGGTGCAAGTAACCAGTCTGTTGAGGAGCTTCTCAATCCATTACCACTGCTGCTGACCTTCTGCTCTTCTGACTGATCTCATCTAGGTTGCAGGCTATCATGACACACATTTGTAATTTTTTTTTTTTTTTTTTTTTTTTTTTTTTTTTTTTTTTTTTTTTTTTTTTTTTTTTTTTTTTTTTTTTTTTTTTTTTTTTTTTTTTTTTTTTTTTTTTTTTTTTTTTTTTTTTTTTTTTTTTTTTTTTTTTTTTTTTTTTTTTTTTTTTTTTTTTTTTTTTTTTTTTTTTTTTTTTTTTTTTTTTTTTTTTTTTTTTTTTTTTTTTTTTTTTTTTTTTTTTTTTTTTTTTTTTTTTTTTTTTTTTTTTTTTTTTTTTTTTTTTTTTTTTTTTTTTTTTTTTTTTTTTTTTTTTTTTTTTTTTTTTTTTTTTTTTTTTTTTTTTTTTTTTTTTTTTTTTTTTTTTTTTTTTTTTTTTTTTTTTTTTTTTTTTTTTTTTTTTTTTTTTTTTTTTTTTTTTTTTTTTTTTTTTTTTTTTTTTTTTTTTTTTTTTTTTTTTTTTTTTTTTTTTTTTTTTTTTTTTTTTTTTTTTTTTTTTTTTTTTTTTTTTTTTTTTTTTTTTTTTTTTTTTTTTTTTTTTTTTTTTTTTTTTTTTTTTTTTTTTTTTTTTTTTTTTTTTTTTTTTTTTTTTTTTTTTTTTTTTTTTTTTTTTTTTTTTTTTTTTTTTTTTTTTTTTTTTTTTTTTTTTTTTTTTTTTTTTTTTTTTTTTTTTTTTCCCCCCCCTTTGGCCATTCCAGGCATATGTTGAAATAGTACCCTGCAATGGCTCCTGGCCACTTCCCTTAAATTCTTACCAAATTATATTCACAGTCCTCTCCCATGTGCTGTGGACCTGTATAACCTCTGAAGTTGAAATAACAATGTTAAATGGGCAACAAATTTATAAGGAAGTATGTACTGTTAAAGCAAAAGCTCTTCTTGAATACAATCCTGATACATTTCAATGCATTTTTGATTTTCATGATCTACTTATCTACATTTGATTTTAATACTTTCCTCAAGCGCTGTCTTAACTTTCCAAGAGGTTTTCCCACAAGAATTCCATATGTTTTCCTTGTTTCTCCCATATTAATGGCATGAATGATGTTTGCAGGTACTTACACAAGAAGGGGAATTTAAGTCATATGAAAGAAGAGGAGGATGGTGGAAGTGATGCATCTAGTGTAGCAAGTGAGGAATTCCATGAGATGCTGGATGGCTTGTTAGCTGGCAAAGAGAAGGATCTTGACTTTGCTGAAGATCTGGGAAGATCTGCATCTGAACAAGATGAAGGTTGGATTTGAGGTTCTTACAGCGTTGACTATGAAGAGTACCATCTTCTGGGATATAACGCTGTGTAGTGTGGTAGGAGTTCATTGGCATTTCAGAGGAATATACTGTCTATATCATCGGGATCCTCTGAAACGTGAATTGACTTCTTTCAGTCTGCATGGCATTGAATCCCACAAGACAGAAGTATTCAAGAGGGAAGTTAATGTAAACAAGCATATGAAAGCATTTTTCATTGCCTTGGTTCATTTTATGGCTCTGAAGAATTCTAGTATATTCTAATAGATATTTGTTATGTTCCTCCATACACATTCCAAACAATGTAATAATTCATCAGTTACAGTAAGCAGAACAGTCATATTATTTTAAATTTTCATAAATTATGCCTTAATTGTGAGGCACGTGGTAATGTAGTTGGTTGAGGCACTATGCTACAAGCTGGAAGGTCGCAGGTTCAAGTCCCGATGAGGTCATTGGATTTTTTTCAATTTACCTAATCCTTCCAGCCGCACTATGACCCTGGGGTTGACTCAGCCTCTAACACAAATGAGTACCAGGAATTAATTAAATAATTTTCCTGGGGAGTAAAGTGTGGCCGGTGCGCAAGGCTGACAACCTTACTGCCATCTTTGAGCTGATAGTCTAAATAATGTGGGACCCTCAACATCTCACAACCCAATGGGCCTTCACGACCTGTTACAGGGATAGCTTTACTTTTTTTATGCCTTAATTGTGTCTTTTACTGCTCAGATTATCGGGCGGATGTATCTGAACACTCTGGACTCTAATTTCGAAGGTACTTGGTTCATGTCTTGGACAGGACATCAGCTCTCCTGACATAGGTTTACCATGGTTTTCTTCAGTTCTTTAAGGCAATTGCTGGGATACTACCTTGATTAGACCACAACTGCTTCCTTCCAAATCCTTTCAAGTTCACCATTCACCATTTATCCTGCCATTCAACTGTATATAGTCAGAGATACTGGCAGTCATAGGATTATTGTTCAGGGACTTGAAACTTGAAATAATTAATTGATTACTCATAATTATAGAAATAGAATTACATATTGAAGTGAAATAGATTAACTCTGGGTGGTCCCACAAGACTGAGAACCCACTCAGTATACCCCTAGCAGACATAAAGTTGTAATGAAGTACTAGTCAGTTACAAGAAATATCTAGATCACAGTCAGTACTTTATACTTCACTGCTGTATACCAATTGAACTGTAATATGGAGCTACATAGTCATACACCAGCTTTTATTATGCTTATTAAGAAATGCCTTGAACTTCAAATGTGCTTTTGCAGGTCCTGAAGACATAAATTATGATGAAGAAGAAGAACATGAACAAGAAAGTGACTCAGAAGAGGAAGCAGACATTCAGCAGGAAGCATCTCTTTCTGGAGATGATATCATTAGTGATAATGATTTAGATGAAGATGCTGAATGTATTGTCTTCAGTGATTCAGAAAGTGATGTGGACATAAGTGGTAGCAACAAGGAGTCTGAGCCAAAAGGGAAGCAGAAGCAAAGGATGGTTTGTATATGCAGTCTGATATTGTTGCCTTAAATGTTTACCATATTACCTGCAGGCCACTCAGGTACACTGCACATTACAAGGTGAATACACATCCAATGCACACTTATAATTAAGACAGATGTAAATCAGAACTGGTCGATTTGTTTCCACGTGAAGAAATGGAAATACATAATTTACCTCAATGACATGTTGCAGAAACATTACCTTTCTATATAAATTGAAGTTAACAGTCTTTTTGAAATTATTAGTCTCATTATGTGAAGCTGTCACACCCCCCCCCCCAAAAAAAAGGAGCAAAGGAAGTGATAATCTAAATAAATAAATAAATGGGTGATAGAAATGAAATTGAAAAA